GTGCTGTGAAAACAATCTTTTGGTGAATCCAGATAAAACAAAATTCATGATCATTGGAACCAGGCAGCTGATGAACGAACTTGATGTCAATATTTCGATCTCTTTTATGGGGAAGATTCTAGAACCTGTTGATTTTGCCAAAGATCTAGGACTTCTAATGGACAGTCACCTAAGTTACGATAAGCACATATCGAATCTAGTGTCGTCCTGCCTTTATAAACTGTGCCAGATAAACAGAGTTAAAAATAATTTTGACAAGGGAACACTTACAATGATAATCACTTCATTAGTGATCAGTAAACTGCTCTACTGTTCCACTGTGTGGTCAAATACAACATGCACTAATATAAAGAAACTTCAATCTATTCAAAACTTTGCATGTAAAATAATCACAGGATCCAAGAAATACGATCATGTAAGCCCATTACTCCAAAACCTTGAGTGGCTCACAGTTGACAAATTACTCTATTTCCGTGATGCCGTAATGACTTTTAAATGCATGAACAACTTAGCGCCGAAATATCTTTGCGACATGTTTGAGAAACGATCTTGTATTCATAATCGGTCTACGCGGAACTGCAACTCAATACAGATACCATTGTTTAAAACAGCGTCAGGGCAACGGTCATTTGCTTTTAGAGGAGCTTCAATTTGGAATAACTTAGACACTGAGCTAAAGAAATGTACATCACTTAAGACATTCAAAAGTCAACCTAAAGAACACTTACTGTCTACTTAGACTATAGACTACTTCCTATTTTAGACTATTAAAAACTTAGATATCAGTCATTTTTATTCCTAACTTTGTAGAAACTGTAAATATTTTAAAATTGTAGTTTTTATAAAATAATTTTGTAAATGGGTTCTGAAAAACCCTTTTGGGAGAAACCATAAATTTTAATAATAATAATAATAATAAAAAAAAATTTATCGAACAACAGTCCGTGTAAACTGCAGTGTACTCCGTATATTGTATTTGTAATGCCTATTAATGGCGCAATAAGGATAAAAATACCACCGCTCGATTCAGCGTAGGAAATTGTACTTACGGATGTCAAGTGTATTACTAAACACCAGTATTCTAGCGATTTAGGGCCTTTGAAAATCAAGCGAAATTGTATTGTCGACAAACTGCTTGCAGTACGTATAATTTGTTGACAACTGATTACTCGCCGTTTGTCCCGACAGGCTTGTATTTGTAATGTCTAGTAATGGCACAATAAGGATAAATGACCACCGTTCGATTCAGCGTTTAAAGAAATTGTACTTATACGAATGAGAAATTGTACCTACGGATGTCAAATGTATTACTAAACAACTGACAACAATATTCTAGCAATTTATGGCCTTTGTCTTTGAAACTGCGAAATTGTATTATTTGTAATTGGAAAATCGCTCAAATTATAAAAAATGCAGTACCTTTGATCCTTGATAACTTTGGTATCGTTGGTTTTCTCTTTTTCGGCCGTATACCAGTGGATTCGTCTCATTTCTCTCTTCATTTTGATAATATTTTGAGCCCAAAAGCCCAAAAATATTTTAGTTTGGACGTTTTAAACTGGCGGCCGATAGAAGAGTGTAGCGTACTATAAAATATAACTTTACTTGTACGTGGGCCATAAACGCCGGAAGTTTTATTTGTAGGGTACCGCATTTTAGTGTGTTAAGCTTTCGCGCTCGTATTCGACTTTTCCGCTTTAATAGCTTGGGGCCAGGCTTAGATCTTAATTGAAATAGCTGTGTACTGTATCATATACAGTAATGTGCGTATTTGTATAGCCCCAGCGAGTTAACGCTCCATAGAGCGTCTTGTTTACAAAAGGTCTTAAGCAAATTAATCTTCCGGAAGATTTAATACGCAACCCTGAACGATTACAACTCTTTAAAACTTATGGTTATGAACAAAATCAGGCAGAAGGTCAAAAGATGAACCTCCGAGGGAAAAAGGGGAAAAAAGAAACCACAATGGTTGACAAACTTTTAAATTACTTGATATATTTTTAAGAAATCACTGTAAAAAGAAATCGTTGTCAATAAATTTGCTGTGAAAAATTATGTTGTGTACTTTTTGAATAATTGCCCATTAAGTTCGTTAATAGCAAAACCTTAAAAATTACTGCAGGTGGATTGAGAGTTTCGTTCATATTCTTTTATTAGATGTGGTGGTTCTTATAAGAACCGGTTTTTGTTCAGGAAATCCAGCGTTTCACAACCACTCGTGCACAAAACTGATGTTCGTCGTTTTTTTCGTCGTCTCTGGAGGGGGAGAATTCTGCGCCCCTTCCAGCCATGTCTCTCGACTTTGCCCACGCTGGACTTCCTGCTGTTCTTGCCATCGCCTGTGGGCACGCAGTGCCCTTCTTTTCTCGAAATCACTTTTGCTTTTCTCAGCGTTGTCCATCCTGATGTATGGTACTAATGCTATAGAAAGGGACCCACACAATCTGGCCTATTTATGCAAAGCATCCCCTCAAACGCTAAAAAAAGAGCGGCATGGTTGACAAACTTCGTAGACAATCATTCCCAATCGTTACTCTTTCGGTTCGCATGTTAAGTAGCGTGTATTGTTATCGAAATGCGACGCTGGTAAACAGTCGTTACTCTTTCGGTTCAGGCAATGCGCTTGTTAACTAGCGTGCATTGTTGTCGAATGCGACGCCGATCAACATCGAATTTCGTTTATAATTCTTTCAAAAAAAGGAGAGAAAAAAGTGATGGGTCGTCGGTAGCATGAATGACCAGATAATCAATTGCCCAGGGTTAGCATTATTTGGCATAGTTTCTGCAAGTCGGTAAAAATTTAACGACCACGCACAAACAACTCGTTAAAATTTTAATGACCACCCACCTGCAAGTCGTAAAATCGTGTTTGCGCGCGTACCTGCATGCGTATAAAAGTTGCAGACCAAGTACAGTTGTTATAGTTGAGACGTGCTTATTGCAACTCATTGGTGTAAGAACAACTTGGACCGCCGGGGTGCTGGCCCGTGTGCAAGAGCCGTCCGCGACGATGAAGATAACGTCTATACTACATGGGAAAGTGTACTGGATAACGAGGACGGGTCGAGGAGGAGTGCTAATGATGCCTGTTTAATCGTGACCCTGAAATGAGGACGGGTCGAGGAGGAGTGCTAATGATGCCTGTTTAAATATTCCGAAAACAAGGGGTTTTAAGATGGCTATGCTTAATGTAGTTAGCCTTCCGAAACACCTTGATGAAATCCGATTATTACTTCAAGATAAATATTTAGATGTTTTAGCAGTTAATGAAACCCGTTTGGACTCCACTATTTCCGATGGGATTGTTAGCATTGAAGGTTATGACTTGCTACGTGCTGATCGGAATAGAAATGGAGGAGGGGTATGTATTTATATAAGACGCCATATAAATTATGAAAATCACCCTGATCTAGTTCCAACGGGCCTTGAAGCTGTCTGTGTGGAAATTAAGCAGGCTAATAGTCAATCTTTTATAGTTTCAAGTATTTATAGACCACCATGTTCCGCTAGTGAAGTGTTTATAAAAATTGAGAGGCTAACCAAATCAATTGATGATGAAAATATAGAATTTTATATTTTGGGAGATTTAAATTGTAATATGCTAGAACCAACTTTGTCCACCACTAGAAAGCTTCAAGACGTTTTGGAATTATATCAGCAGCTTACACAATTAATTAATAACCCTACGCGTATTACCCAGTCTAGCCAATCATTATTGGATGTAGTAATTGCGTCAATGCCTGAAAAAATAATTTTTTCAGGTGTAGTCCATCTCGGAATTAGTGATCACAGCCTCATTTATAGTATTCGGAAAATAAGTACAAGAATAAAATCTGATTTACAAGGTTCTGTCGAGTATAGAAATTTTAAGAATTTCAATATTTCAGGCTTTCTATATGACTTACAAAATATACCCTGGGAAGAAATAAGATTTAAAAGAAATGTAGATGAAATGTGGCGGTTATGGAAAACATTTTTTGTAGATGTGCTGGATAAACATGCCCCTGTGAGAGTAAAAAGATTAAGAAAAGGGGGCAATATTCCTTGGGTAAGCCGAGAAGTAAAGGAAAAATTATTTAAAAGAGATGCTCTTAAGCGTAAAGCAATAAAGACAAATAAAGAAGAAGACTGGAGACTATATAAGTCATCTAGAAATGTTGCCAACACTGCTTTGCGCAGTGCTAAAAGAGATTATTATGCAAACAAATTCACAAATAATAAACAGAATCCTAAATATGCTTCGAGAACAATAAACGATATATTAGGTCGAAACAGAAAACAGACTACGATTAATGAAATTAAACTTCCAGGTAAAACTGTTACATCGACCGACGAATTAGTCGACATTTTTAATGATCATTTTAGTAATATTGGCCCAAAGCTTGCTGAGTCTATTCTAAATGACAATGACGTTAGTTTTCGAGATTTTATTACTCAACAAAAATCTAAGACAAAGAACAGTTTCTCATTTCGACCAGTGAGTGTATCATTGGTTTACATTCTTCTAGTTAATTTGTCTACCACCAAAGCGACTGGAATGGATAAAATTTCAGCTAAAATTCTACAAGTAGCAGCTCCAGTT